AAATTAATTAAAAAGTTAAACCAATTATTAAAATGTAATTCAACTTTAATTAAAGGAATTTGGTAAGTGAATAAGGTATCGCTATATTAATGCCATAGAAAAGAGGTTTAAGAAGGTAGTAGTTTGAAAATATTTTGAATAGGGTTGCCACCTATTTGAGAAGTCTAATTTAACTATATTTTATATGAAATATTAACGATGGATGTCAAATGAAAGAGCTCCAAGAAATATTTAGTTTGACAATTTAGAACATTTTTGATGCGCTTGAGGGTTGCCCAGCTTAAAGGGCTAAACTAAAATTATTTAATAAGTTAAATGAATTACTAACCGATGGTTATCAATGGAAATGGGCTTAAAATCCTTTATTTAAGAACTATATTTAGGAGGATTGCCACGTGTTTAAAAAATGAATTTCCACTTAACTCATCAGTTACATGAAATATTTATAACAATGTCAGACGAAAAATATTTAAGGAGATTTTAGTTCGAAAATAATTTTTAAAAGGGTTGCCGCCTGTTTTGAAAGTGGTATTTCGTTTAATTATACATAGGTTACATGAAATTTTAAAATATGTTTATCAAAAGAACGAGTGTTAAGAAATCTTTAAGCTCAACATTTAGTTTTTTTTTGTTGAAAAAATTAAGCTAAAATTATTTAATAAGTTAAGCTGTATTTAGGAGAGCTGTCATGTGCTTAAAAAATTAAATTCAACTTAATTAATCAGTTAATTGAAATATATATAACAATGCCAAGGGGTTGCCACCTGTTTGAAAAGTCGAATTTGTTTTACTTATACGAAAGATATACGCTGTGCGGGTTCACTAGTTTTGTTTATTATTGCGCGCTAGCGACGAATATGACAGTAGTGTTTCTTGAGGAAAGAGCGAGGCAACAGGCTTTGATGTCGAAATTCCTTGGACACACACACGAAATAATGGCAATTTTTTCTTGACCGTTTTCTTTAGAGTTGCATACGGGCCTTAACGTGTTGTATATTTTGGGGTTTTTGGGGACCTATAAAAAATAGTCTCCTAAAGAGAAACAGGGTTTTCCGATCGAAAAAGTTTTTTAATCAAAAATTACGGGTATTCTTCATATTTAAAAAAAAAATTCAATTTTCATAATAGTTAAATGAGCGCATGCACCCTTAAGGTTACTTCCCCTTTTTATTGCCGAAAAAAAAATATTGTTGTTTAAATAAAAGATTTGATTAAAGTTTTTCTGCTGTTTGCATACATTTTCTCTTTTATTTAACTTTAATATCGCTGCATTTCTGGCTTAGGACTAGAATTTGTTTTAACGACATTCACTTCGATATGAGTTCGTGGTCATGTGTATGATGTGTGTTTATATGTATGTATGTATGTGTATGTATGAGTGTGTGGGTCAGTGTCGGTGATGGATTCATTTACAATTCAACGTTAATGCAGTGTTTGGTTGTTGTTGTTATTATCCTTTTCGTTCGTTTAAATGTGAACTTTTTAATTGTTTTGCAATTACTGTTTTTTTTTTCAAAATACTTTTTTTTTTTCGTTTGCAAATTTATTCACTTATACTCGTAAAATTTACTGTTTTTACGCTTAAAATAGTTTGGTTCAAATTTTTTGTTGAATTATATTAGTTATTGTGTTTTTTTTGTTTGTTTTTTTCAGCTTTCTTTTATAATTATTTTAAATTTTGTTTCTGTGGTTTTCTTGTTCATTCGCTTATTTAGTTACAAAAACGAAAATGCCATAATTAAATGCAAATGTTTACTAACTATGATAAGCATTGCCTTCGCGCAAAGTCACACCCCTAATCGACTTTGGAATTTTTTTTTAATATTTACGAGTATTTTTTAAATATATTTTTTTTATTAATAACAGACACTGCATTTTTTTTTTGATTTATAATTACAATTACAAATTTCCTTACATATGTTGGTATGTAGGTATATAAGTATCTATTATTTATAAATCTTTTATTATTTATACTACATAGTTCTACTTTTTCATAATAACTATTAGTTTATATTAAATCTACAAAAACTTATTTTTAAAAATTCACGTATAAAAAATTTCTTTTACATATTGTAACTCACTGGAGTCTAGTTTTTGTTGCTGATTTAATATTTATCTCATTATTTGCTACACAAGATTTTTTTTTTAATTTATTTTAACTACACAGATATTTATGGGAAAATGAAAATGAAGGGTTGTCGCAAATTGGCTTAATTCGATTTACATATTTTCAAATTTTGATATGATGTGCTGTATCTACATATATTGATCGCTTGCATGTGGATATGTATGTATGTATGTTGAAATCTAGATATGCATTGTATGTATGTTCGTTTGTCTGTGTGTAGTATATTTGTATGGCTATTAGTTTTGCTATGCCTTCTCAGGTGGTTATTTTAATGGCTTTCGTATGCTTAAGAAAATTTTTTTGCCAAGACGTACATTTTCGCACATTCTTGCTATACATTCCGCAAAAAATAAGTGAATGTATAATTTTCTTATTCAAATTAATTTTCTTTTTAATTATTCTAATATACTCGAATTGAAAGAATTTCGGGTTCAGAGAAAAAGGCTTAAGCGAACTGTTTTGGAAACAATATCGATGTATTGGTTCTCAAAATTCAATTTTAGCTCTCTCAAATATTTTTGTATTACCAAATTCAGCGCGATATTTGTCCAAAAAAGAAAAATTGCAAGAAAAATTGCAAGATTTTTTTTTTGTTGGAAAGTACTAAAAAAGCACTTTAAATTAATATTTTCTTCGCAGGCAAAACACAAAAATGAGAACATTAATTTGTTAGTACCTTTTTTTATGGATGATGACAATATGGAAAGCATTGCAAATGGATGCCTTAGTTCTTAAATTATTTAAATTTTAAAATTATAATTAAAATATAATAAAATTATGAGTATTTTGTGATAAAAAGGCAATCGGATATTACATATTTTTATAGCACATAAAATCGGACTTGTAAATCTTAAAAATTCTAATAAAAATTTTGAACAATTTTAGTTTTCGAAGGTGAATATAAAAAATACTCATTTCTTTTAGTAACAAATATACGAGGGCGTCATTTTACTGGAGCGTTATTATTGAAATTGGCAGCAAAATGTAAATTTTAGACTTTAAAAAAATATACTTCTTAGTAACAAGTGGATAAAAATGAGAGATTTCGCATAATTTAGCAACTTTATAGCGAACTGAATAAGCTGTTTTAAACTAACAGACGCTACAATCAAAAAGTGTTACACAGGGTGCACATTAGGATGGCCCTTGAAAAATCAACATCATAGTTCCCGCTTTTATTTTGTTATACGTGCAAAATAAAGACATTCACGAAAATTTCCAACTGTTAAACAAATTTTCAGGGGTCGTTACTAGGGTTTTAAAAAGATTATTATTTTTTTTTAAATCGCAAAAAAATCGACATAATTTTGACTTTGACCAGTTAAAACTCAATTGGAAATCTTTACTGATTAAAAATTAAGCATACAAGAGCTCAGCTTTTCCCTGGAAGAAGAATATGTAACTGTGTTACCCAAACTGGCTCTAGGATCTGTATGAGATGTAGAACAAAAGAGAAGACAGTGCAGCGTATCCTCTACAGCTGTTCTGCCCTTAGCAGATAGCGGACTAGTTTCCTGGGAGCAGGTATTCTGACTAATATGGACGCAGCCGCGAAGGTAGAGTACAAAAAGATGTTCCAGTTTGCCAAGAGGACTGCGATGCCCGTCAACATTGCTCCTGGTATTCAGTCGTTAGCTGTCTTATATGGTCGTAGTTTATGTGGTCTTTAATAGAAGAATTCTCAGCAAGGAAGACTAGAGTTAACATTGCCATACTCTGGCGAGTAGGTGAGTGATCGAGAGTTTGGTAAAGATTCACCGCCAGCTCTTGTGTTCGTTATACAGATCACTTTTGCGACCTATCAGCTGAGGTCTCCGCTATAAAAGGTACGGAAATAGGCAAATGGATTTTTAAATTAAAAAAAAATTTCGATTTTTATATAAAAAAAGGTACACGGTACATATATGTATGTATGTGCATTTAGTAAGGTTATAACATTTTCCAAAAACAAGGATAAAATCTTGCGAAAATACAAAATGGGCTTCATCAGGCCACCAGTAGGACGACATAAATTATTTTAACTGCAATTTAAGCAAATTAATTATATGTGGTAGACGAAGTAGTATGTTCATGAAATTTCCCATCATAATTGGCCGTCTAACATTTCTAAAAATTTTGTTGCTGTGATTTTTCCATCATTTGCCTTGGCGTCATTGGAAATTTGTATAGATGTTTGTCTGTTTGTGTTATTTGTTACTGCTAGTTTATGACTATTTTACTTAAAATACTTGCTAGTTTTTTTTTTTAATTTTCTATAAATACAAAATAATAGAAACTATGTAAATATTTACAAAATCATACAATGCATTTAGTATGTATGTAGTTAAAAATCTATGATTTGACAATTTGAAAATTACAATTTCATTTTCGTTTACACTTACATTGCTAACTTACATACATACATATGTATATGTGTATGTAGTAGTACAGTACAGAACAAAAATAAATATGTATATTAACTACATGCACGTATGCATTAAATATAGCTATACTACATATACATAAATAGTACCTTCCTATGTATGCACGAGAGTATGTATGTATGTGTATAGTACATGCAATGAAAAAATCTCACATATAGATGGGAATTTAGTTACATACTTATGTATGTATGTTTGCTTTACTAGTTACGTAGTTGTGTTCCAATTAACTATGTATGTTTGTATGTATGTATTTTGCATAAATATTTTCACAGTTTGTCGGAGTAAAATGAATAAAATCGTGGAAAAAATACTCGTTCGTAATTAAGTAGTTAGTTAGTTTCTCTCTCTTTTTCAAAAAATTTGCATAAAAAAGGAAATAATCAAAGTGTTTGAATTTTGGCATCGCCTTTCGATTTACAATTCGCATTTAAAATGTTTTTTATTTTTTATTTTTTATTGTTTTTGTTGCTGATGAAGTTGCTTAGTTTTGACTGGTTGATGTTGATGATGTACTGATTGTAGCCACAACAAATGCCCTCGTCCGGCACGCTTTCGTGGCACAAGGGCGCGATAGTCGGAATTTCAAGTTAACACCTCTTTGAGGTGGCGCGCATATGCTTCCGCCGTATGGAACACAGGTTCGCTGAAAAGACAATTTACAAAGAGGTTATAAATAAGGATGTATTAAGTTGTAAATAGAAACACCCTATTAATTATATATCCACAAAATGCACGATCTTTCAGATTTTTTTTTGGCTACAAAACTGCATTCTCAAAAAAATTCTAAAAAAAAAAAAATTTAAATTTGTAAATTAGTATTGTGCTAATTTTACTCAACTTCGGTGTAAAAAAAATTCATAACTCAAATCATTGTATAGTGCGCACTATAATACTATACTTAAATATTGCGCAATACTCAGAGCTACCACCTTAATCTTTTTAATTTTTTTTTAAGATGGCATATTTTCAGAAACTAATTTTTTTTATCAAAAACTTTGTATGTGAAAAATTTTTAAAGAAAAAAAATGTAAAAAATATTTATTTTCATAGATAATTTTGATGTGTGTATGCGTGATTTTTTTCAAATTTTTTTCTCGCCCCGTTCTCGAGATATTTGGAACTATTAAATCGATTTGTTTTTGTTTTTGTGCTGCAATGTTTAAAAATGCATTAATCAATCTCAAATTTCCGATTTATTTATTATTTGTGTTTATCCATCAACCTTAAAAATTTGAAACAAATCAAACACATGAAGTGTGAACCCCGTCCATTTTGGTATGGAACGCCCCATATACATCACTTTTCGATAAGCCTGATACTTTCTGAGAAATTAATTAATCATTCCAGTTTTTTATGCTTTATTTATTTATTTATTTTTTTCTTTGATTAGAAAGTTCAAAATTTAGCAGGGGAAAAAATTGAAAAATAACAATTTCTATGCAAATTTTTTATTTGTGTTAGAGCCTGTTCTCTTACAAAAAAATTTAGCTACTAATGAAGATAATCGATGGATAAATAATTGGGAATGAGTGGTCAAATGGAAATGCGCAAGGATTTTTTGTATGAAAAATGAACAGGTAAGAGTGTACATGGCGTGGGCTGTATGTCCTGATGAACTTGTGGACAAATGTGTATTCAATAGAATTCGGTATATTTGCACAGTCAAATATATTTTCAATTCATTATGATGTAACCACACATGCATTTAACATTTATACACACACATACATACATACATACATCTACATGTATGTAATTCCATACATTTGCTCTCGCCTGAGCGCCAATGCGTTGTGTTGATTGTATGCCATTGTCATTTTGGTGATTTGCATTCATTAATACCACAACGCAATTTCATTTCGTTTTTCGCACTCCCCATGGAGCATCAAATTCTAAATCCCGTTTAAAAGTATGTATGCACTTTAGGGTGGTACAGAAAATGTGAGGTCGGAACTTGAGTGCTCTCACCCCTAGGATTGTTCTATATCGAAAAATAGAACCTTGTTGTTTTCTTCTAATCAAAAAAATATTTAGAGGTCGCTCAAAGCGCTCAAAGTTTCCAATAGATTTTATATGTAAAAAAAAAACAATTATCCTAGAAACTGTATAGAATACTTTAAAACAAATATTTTTCAAATCAAGAGATTTCGAAAATTAATACCCAATTGTTTATTTAAAATCTTTTTAATAATAACGATTTTTCATGGGTCCCCCAAAACCCAAGAAAAAATGCAATTTGAGCGCTTTTGGCGACCTATAATATTTTTTGGATTAAGAAAAAAACAATTGGTAAATTTATTTCGATATTGAACAGTTCTAGAGGGCGAGCGTATTAAAATTCCGACATTACTTTTCCCCACATGCAATTTTGGATCACCCTTATGCACATGCAATCGTGTATAGTATTTATGTGCGTATTTATAGCTTACCTGTCGCTGATATCGCGTTTTCGCCTTCTATCCTGCGACAACGCCTCCACGCACAGCACAATTAATTTGCTATCGCAAGTTTGGCGCTCCTGGTCGAGCAATTTGTTCCCCAGTAAATTACTGGCATAACCGAACTTATCTCTGGAGCCCGAATGCCAGGCGTCACAATATGTGTCAATTGAACGCTCACCGTTGGGTAGTGAGCCATGCCAAACGTGCTTTTGTGGCCTGTTAAAATGCAAAAAAAAAAGGAATAAAGAAAAGAAATTAGAAATGAGGGGACTAACACAGAAAGAAAAAAATATTGTAATAACAAAACCTTTTATTTAGATTACATTTTAGTCAAATTGAAAATGAATTTATTTTCAATAATGCTTACATAATAAGTACATATATCTGCTTGTGAGATTAAGGGGGCTGCGATGTAATTTGACACCTTTAATTTCTATAATATCTTAAATGGGCAATTATGACCTAATTTATTCCAAATTCATCATTTTTGTCTAATTAATTTTTGGTAAGAAGAATTGTTTAACGTTTTTTTTATTGCAAAATTAGGCTAGTGTTTAGTTAACACCTGTTCATACTGAAGCTGTAATGCTATCTTAGAGTGCATGAGTTCCCCGTGCATGGGCGTAGCCAGGTAGGGGCAGGGGGGTGCTCGAGCCCACCCCCCTAACTTTCAAATTTTCCTTATATATATATAAAATAGTACCCTGAAATGCCAGCTTAATAGGGTCCATAGGGGGTTAAGACCACGCTGTCTGATAAAGGCATGGAAAATATTAATATATGTATATAGATATTTTCTTTCTATTTGTATTCTTAGTGATCCACACAAACGTACTTATCAGCTCTTCTTCTGTGACCTCTGAGCGCTCTCTTGCGCCCGAAAGTGTGCTGCAACTAAGCGACTCAACTATAACCGACACTCTGGTAATATTTGCCCCCCTGACTACAGTCATCAAAGTTTACTCTAGCGTTGGGTGCATGGCAATGAAACAACTTAAATTTATGACATTATGTAGAGCAACAGTATGGATATCAAGTAAACGGAAAATTTTGTAGAATTTAAAACATTTAATTTTTTTGGTCAACTAGTACAAATAGGTATTGAAAATGTCCCTTTTAACAATTTCCTAAACTAACAATGTTAAACTGATAACCAGAGACCGTAACAGTAACAAATTTTATAAAAAAAATCGCTCTTTAACAATTATTTTTTGACTTTTATTTAATTATTCCTTAAACAACCTGTAAATAAGATATTTTTGATTTTTAAATTACATATCTTAGATAATGGTTATCGAAGACATTTATTTATAAAAGTCGTAAATAAAAATCAGTTACTGACCTTTATTTTTTAAACCATACTTATAAAAGTCATTTGTATAAGTCGCAGTAAACTTTTGTTTCCCAACACCTTCCTAACTGCGAAAAATATTAATGACTTTCATACGAATTATTTAAAAAATAAAAGTTGATTACTGATTTATATTGATGACTTTTAAAAGTAAAAGTCACTGACGGATTTTTATTGATGGCTTTTATAAATAAAAGTCTTCAATAACTGTTATCTAAGACATATAATATAACAATCAAAAACAATTGTTATTTATTTTCATATTTGAGTCTCGGTGAAAAAAGAAATCGTTTGGAATGTATCACTTAGTTGTAGAACATTTCCTTCATAATTAATTTTTCCATGACAATTTTCATCAGATAACTTTTATGTTCGGCCCCTGCTAATTGTTAATCACAATTTTAATACCTCTATTCGTCCTTGTACAACAAAAAAATTAATGTTTTTAAATTTCACGCAATGTTCTCTTTTATTTGATACCCGTTTTGTTATTCGACATTGCACTGAATTTCTTTCATTAATCAGATCCTCGAAATTTCAAAGTCCTGTAAAAGACATGTAGCAGTATTACTATATTTGGCCCCCTAGTTTCGTATATTGATTTTCTGGAAGCTTTACTTTGGGACTTCGTCAACCCAAAGCTTACAATCTAAAAAAATACAGTATACCCATAGGCCTCCCTTACGAGAAACTAAGGACCGTTACAGTTATTTTGACGGGCCACTGCACGCTAAGAGGGCACTTGTGTAATTTAGGAATCTAGTCTAGTGACCGCAGTCGCTGCTGTGACGATGCCAGGTGGACTAGATTGTACCTCTCTGGAGTGTTAGGACGTCCCACGTAGAAGGGAGAGAAGCATAGGACATTTATGACCAAGTGAGGACCTCATACACTATTTACCCCCGTGATCAATTCTGAAATTCCTAGAGTATCTAGGGTTGGTGAGGTACTGTGATGAGCTGTAGGCTCAATAGAGCTACTGGTCGCAATGTTTTATTCGACTATCTACCTATTTATCTATCCATCTATCCATGGCTTTGTTGCACTTAAACTACGCGGGTTCTCTAAATAGCTGAAACTCTTTAACCGCGAGAGCTCGTGCCGAATTCTGATGAAGAAATTCACTGGGCGCGAGTTGATTAAGACGGTGATTGCCTATCGGTTATAACATGTCTGGATATCGTCTGTGAGTTCGTAGATATGTCTAGGAGGAGATTATGCTTTCAGCGTCTGTTCGGGTGTTCCCAGCGGTAGCAGCCGCGCAGAAATTGCTTGCCACGCAGAATGTTATGTTCTTGACATTGCGGCCTCCGTATACTGATGGTGTTCAGGTGACGTCAGAAGGCATCCCATTACCGTCCAGAGTACGATGTTTTGACAGGTCCGTAGCTCCATTCACTGTTGCGGCTATATTCTTTATCAAAAATTGCAGTTGTCTTCACCTCAAAGGAGAGCAAGCTCCCAAAGCCCAAAAACGTTCGTCCTACTAACCGTCGTTTTTGGTATGGCTCGGGATGATTACCTAATTACTGTCTTTAATCTTTTGTAAATGATGTCAAAAAATGTTGAGTAGTCCGTTTGCGACGCTGTATTCATATACATATCTTCCAATAAAAAACCTCTGAGATATGAGAGTAATCTGGGCGGAAATACTTCTCTTTTTAGATCATCATTGAAATATTGCCTTAATGAATCTGCATTTGGTACTTTGATCAAGTACTATGTTGTTGAATGTAATTATAATTGGAAATTATGCTAACATTCACTTATGAAACTATACGTGCAGCCAACTCTCCGCCAAAGATTATATCTATATTTGTTTATGCATACATATTTGCCCCATAGAGACCGCTCGTATAATTCAACTCAAGATTCCATGGCCCCCCTGAGAATTGAGTTTCCAGGAATAACAGTAAGCAACCTTTGACTTTGCATCTACTTTGAGTTAAATTGAATTGCATTGTTTAGCTGTGCATAATTGAGAAATATGTTTTAACTAATGTGCACAGCAAGTTCCATTTACCTGTTTTCTCAGTGGCTAGTGTGTGCCATTGAAGTCATACTGATATTTTGATAACATTTATGTAGTAATTGCCAAAATTCAAACACGCAGGTATCTAGATACGCATTTGGAGGCAATATACTACATACATATCTAATTCTATGAGCTGTTTCTCTCTCAGTTTGGGAATACTGGTTTAGTATAATGTATATATGGAACTAGGTATACATATATACCTATGTATGCCTTTATACGCAAACATTAGTGAATTTCTCAATCGTTTTCCGCTTTTATAAGTGGAACTTAATAATCTACAACAAGTTTTAATGATTACAAGCATATATAAGTACATTTATGAAGAAGAGAACCATATAATTTTGTGTGTAGAAATTCGATACTATGTGAAATTCATGGCTGAAATACATTGTACAAATATTTAGATTCTGAAGTGAATAATTTTGATAAGATTCAGGCAAAACTGAAGACCAAGGTAAACTAAACACTTTACTCACATGTATAAGGGGAAAAGGTGGAGGGGAATATGTAGATGAAGAAAATGATAAACATAAAAGTAAAAACAAAGATAACTATAAAGAAAAACATGAGGATGAGGGTACCGATAAAAGTAAAGATGAAGATAGAGGAACACAGATTTAAATAAAGGTAGTTGTAGAGAAAAGGATATAGATAGAGGCACACAGACTCAATCTGGGAACTATTTCGGGATTTTAGAGATTTTCGGGATTCTGGGACTTATAGATATAATAGTCGATATTTTTATCGGTTTTGTTATCCTTATTTTTTATCGATATTGCTATCGGTATTTTGATGGATATTTTCATCGATTTTCTTGTCGATTTTTGTTACCGATTGTGTTATCCATTATTTACTGTTTTTGTTATCAATTTTGTTATCGATTATTTATCGATTTTGGTATCGATATTTTTTTAATCGATTTTGGTATCGATATTTTTTTAATCGATTTTATTATAGATATTTTTATCGATTTTGTTACCGATTTTTGTTATCGATTATTTATCGATTTTGCTATCGATATTTATATCGATTTTGCTACCAATATTATTATCGATTTTGCTATCGAAATTTTTATCGAATTTGTCATCGATTTTGTTATCGATATTTTTTATCGGTTTTGTTATCCAAATTTTATTGGATGTTACCATCGAGACATACGAAGGTCCGTATTCAAGAATCACCGGAGCCAATGAAGAATATAGACGACTGCGCCATTTTGGTTTGTGACATGTTAATCACAGTTCCGAGTACAGAGAGAAGTTTAGAAGACTTTCGGGAACAAAAACTTCCAAACCGATATCTATAGTCCTATTGGTAAGAAAGTACGTCGTTAGCTTTCCTACAAGGGAGTAAAAATGAAGATACACAGACACTGCCCTTGGGACAAAGGCTTTTTCTTTGAGATCTTTGCACTACTTCTTTAAAAGTCTGGATTTTGGTAAAAAGTGGCGCAGACATCAAATCAGGGTATCCAATGACAGACAAACTATTCTATTATCGATAACTATCTATTAACATATCGATAAATTTATTACTAATGAGCTAATTAGTGCAAAAGCAACAACAAAATATCGAAAACTGTATTCTTAAATATTTTTAAAACGATATTGCTAAATAAGTCGATAATGATATCGATAAAAATATCGAAAACAATTGGACTTCGAAAATATCAACCTCAAATCCCTTCGTGATTTATTCATCAAAATCGTTTTTAAAGGATATGCATGTTTTATTATTAACAAAAAAAAAAATCTACAAATGATGAGCATTGTTCATCCTTAGTGACTCACAAGAAATATGGTCTCATGATAATGTTGATGGAGAATT